ATTAATTCTGAAGTCCGGAACATCGTACTTATGCGGAGATTATCATGAGACATGGAAAAGGTTCAAAGATATCTCTGTTTTTTTAACTTAAAGACCTTATATCCCTGTCTGATTGGTTCCTGAGGCATCTTAAATGTGTATTTGAACTGTTTAAAGAACTGAATCATCATCTCATCAATGAAGAGATTTTAGACTAGCCGCCGGGACCATGAATTACACATTTGATTTGGTTTGGTTTGGTCCCAGTCCATTTCTTGGCGTGATTTCAAGTGGGACCAGAATTAGAATGGGAGTGTAAAGTGACTAGAATTTTCAAAACATGAGTGAAATGGGACTAATAAATCTTGATATTTTGTGTAAAGTGACTGACTATCAAAATCAGAACATGATCTGGGACTGATTATGATTTTGTCTGAAATTTGGTCCCATTCTGATGATTATATAATACATCAATCTGATGATATGATTGGTGGAGATATTACCCCTATCTTGCTTAGTGCTGCTGCCAACCTACCCACCACTGCCAACCTACCCACCACTGCCAACCTACCTACCACTGCCAATCTACCCGCCGCTGCCAACCTATCTACCACTGCTAATCTATCGCTGCCAATCTATCTATTGCTGCTAATCTATCGCTGCCAACCTATCACTGCTAATCTATCGCTGCCAACCTACCTACCACTGCCGACCTACCTACCACTGCCAACCTACCTACCACTGCTAATCTATCTATCGCTGCTAATCTATCGCTGCTAATCTACCACTGCTAATCTATCTACCACTGCCAACCAACCTACTGCTGCTAATCTATCGCTGCCAACCTACCTACCACTGCTAATCTATCACTGCCAATCTATATAGGGTAAATCATGGTCTCATTTGGTCCCATTTTGTAAAATGGGACCAAATAGGACTAGAATCAGTAATTTATAAGAAGAACATGACCTGGGACTAGATCTATAATATAAACAGTGTAAAGTGACTAATTTACTAAACACTATATGGGACCAGGACTAAGATATCTGATAATGGGACTGAAGAAAAATTTAGTCCCAGTCTCATGCATGGTCACACGGTCAGTCTAAGAGATTTGAATCTGAGTTGTAATATTTCTGATATGCTGTATGAAAGTTGGAGTATAAAGGCTCTAGCTTCTGTATGAAGGAGAAGTAGGAGGATTTCAGTCTGTGAGGATTGAATATATGAATACATCTCTTGATCTGCTCAAATCAATACTGTGTCATATGAAATCTTGATGAATGAAGTGGCCTCTGTACATCATTCCTGTTTCAATAGTTTCCTTGCTGGAGACTTATGTACTCCCATATAGATAATCTGCCCAAGAAATACCTTGATTTCTGCAGGAGTAGTTGGCTGCCAATCCTGTGAATTGATGGCTGAATTTCTTGATATCTGAATCTCTGCATAGGCATTGATGGAACTGGCAATATTCTGAATATCTGCCTCTTGAGATATAGAGAGAGAATAGGGTGTATGGATTCTGTGGATCAATATCATTGGACAGATTGACAGCTGGGGGGCGATGAAGAGATTCCATAGATTTGAATCTAATACTCTCAAGAGATGAAATGTCTGCAAGAAGTGTACTGATAGATTGCTTTTACTTTACATCTGTTTTTGTACTGTCTAATAAAAAAATCAGTCAATCTGATTAAAAGAAGCATTGAAGAGTTGGAAATCACCTGTAGAATCCATATTTCTATCCCAGGGTGGGCAGGGTGGCCAGGGGTGTCACATCCACGGTGGATATGAATATGGATCAAGAAGAGAAGGTTCCAAGGTTGCAGAATGCGTAGAGCAGAAAACGCGAGATAGTGAAGCAGTATCAACAAATCAGATTACATAGATTTTAGTATGAGAAATTATTGGTTGGTACTTCTAAGCTAACAGCTTAGTTATTACACTAATGGTATTGCGCTAATTGTTGCCTCGCCCCCAGACGAGGAGATAGGCGTCTTTATCAAAATATTCAAGGCACAGAGCAAGGCCCACATTACAGATTACGCAACGACATGGCTGGCGATAGAATACAATAAATGGATGATGATATGACAGCACTTCGCCCAGAGAACTAACGTGAAGATCAGTTGAGATCCGGAAAACTGCGCTGAAACAAATCCCGATTTGCAAACGCTGATCAAACCCTGTTCCCTGATTTTTTGCGCTTGGAAACACAAAAGAAAATCATGGAAAGACGGGAAGAAAGGCAAACGTCATGACTAATTGAGCATTGGGGATGGTATAACGGCAGAGGAGTTGGGAATATAAAATCCACTATTTCGGGTTTCTTTGTTGGACGCAGACGTTATCAAGGAGGTTTTTTTTTTTTTTCGGGAGGGGAAAAATTTTTTATCCCTCCCTCTTCTTCTCTCTCACAAGCGGTCCGATCTGGAATCTGGCAATGCTGACCTAAGAGGGTTTGGCAGAGCAGGAAAAAAAAAAACGGGGTACGGAGTAGGCGTTTCTGAAACATGAAACTGAAACGCAGAGCAATAATAATATAGTACAAGTGCGTAGTAGGAATTGCAGACCTTGTTTCTTTATGCGCGAACCATTCCTTCTTCGGCTCTCAATGAAAGCCACACTCCCGGCTAATTCGTGGAGGGGCAAGAAATTTTAGGTTTACTTTTTCTATTTTTTTCTATTTTTTCCTCCTCCTTTTTTTTCCCCATACGGAGAACCGATCTTCCTTTCGAGCCACCTGGGGAGGATGTATTTTAATTACGAAGGGGCAAGCTGGACAAATGCGTCGCTGGAAGTTATAGAGGACTTGTTATGATTGACCTTCATTTATCTAGACCCCCTCTAAGCAGCTCTCCATGAACAGGTGAACACAATTTCGCAGAGCGTGAACATGGACGGCCTGGCGCCTTCGTCATCTTCTTATTATTATTCTGTTCGAGATGTTGGATGGTGTGTCTCTCCAGCTTGTCGGAGGCCACCAAGAGGCAGAACCGGTGGGCGGCTAAAAATAGAACAGCTATGACCGCAACCAGCGCCGCCAAGTGTGGGTTAGCTTCTGGGTGAGGTGGAGAGCGGTGATTGGCCACCGAGAGAAATCGTTCCGGCGGCTACGAAGCCCCGGGGTCTGATTGGCTGGAAGATGCCAGTTCTGTCAGACCACTGAGACCCGTGGACTGATCATTCAATGGATTTCTACTCCGTAGCTGCTTCCTGATCGTATCGGTATTTTCTTCGGTAGATATAGAGAGTAAAATAAAATCTGTTTTCTGACTGATCCAGCCTGATTCCCTGGATTCTGTGCATTTGGACGACTGAGGGAATTCGCACCAGGACAGGGTGCTACGCTACTCGCTGCGCACGTGATGGTAGCGGCCAGGGCAGCCCTGCTGTAATTTACCCGCGGCTGACAATACCAGATCTAGTGCTCTGGGGCAGGGATCCGCTCCAGGTATTGCTCTGGTAACAACGTGCGGCTTGGAAACATGAGGTATGGAACCCCGCCCAGACCCGCCAGAGCGGGCTGTGGTTGGCTCTGTGCAGCAATGGGTCCTGCTCCATCCGTCCAAAGGTTACCCTTCGCTGTCTAGCACCACGTATTATAATATACGGTATCGGCGGTACGATGGAACTTCTCTTCCTTCCATCTTTCTCGCTCCCTCGTCTCCTCTCTTCTTCTCCACAACAACATCATCACCAACCATCACCACAACCATCACCACCACCATCCTCCTCCTCCTCCTCCTCCTCCTCCTCCTGCTTCTCTACACACTTTCTCTTCTCTTCTCGTCGCCCCCTTTTCTCCCAGACACTGGCTGTTTGGCCTCCCCCATTGACACTCCTTCGTTTCTTCCAAGCATTCCCTCACTTCCACCCGCCAGCCTTACTCCAAGCTTGCGTGCCTCCTCCCTTTGATCTCCCTCTCCTTGTGTCTCTCTCCTCGACGATCCGCTGCGTATTTTCATGCTATCCTTTTACTTTCTTTCCTTTCATCTGACTTTACCGGCTCCCAATCCTGTTTCGAGTCTTTCCCGGGCGGAAACGACTTGTCCCGAGGTTTATATCGCGACCCTTCCAGCAATTCGACTATTCAGCAATCCATCGTGGATATCCCTTCAAGTCGCTTGAACCCGATCCCCCTGATTTCTGTCAAACAAGCCGCTATCCGTCCCGATGCAGAAGCTCAGAACGGGTGCCCTCCTGGAAAGTTGTTTACTTGATTTGTGACTTGAAGAGAGCGAGGGCAAATTTTTAAACGACACACATTGACAACCCATATTCACGACATAGCCTAATGGCATATCTGGATCCGTTGCTAGTCTGAGTTAAGTTGTGTGATTGCTACTTAGCTGGTGAGAGGAGGGAAAAGGTGGTTTACTGGTTTTTTGCGTCTGTTAGGATAATCAATAGAATACACTGTAAGTCAGGGTCTCTGGTTATTCTCCCTGTCTGTCTGTCATTTCGGTTTTGGCGTATCCCTTCTCCGCATATCGGCTGGTTCATGAATTGTTGTTTTCTTTCCCGTTTTCTTTGGTGCCCTCGGCGCTATGATCCAGCTTTATCTCCTCTCTTGTTTCAAACGGTTTCCGTGGTGATCAGGGGTTGTATCGATGGCCGTGTCATGTCGTGGACTCAAACCGTTTCTGCTTTCCTCTCTCTCAACCTGAATTCCTTCATTGTCCTGCTACCCGCATACTCGACTTCCTACCGCGATGGTCTCAGTTACAGACCACTCAATTTCCCCAGCCATCATGTCTTCGAGCCACCATACTCTGACTCCCAATTCTAACAAGTGCCTGAAAAGGTCGTTTGCGCAGGTGGCAGGTCCAAAAGCCGTTTATTTTCATGACGTCCAGTACGACATCCATAATACCGCTATGTCTGTGCAGATGCTGAATGAGCACAACAACTGCGCGCCGATTGCTTCTACAAATCGCAGATCTAGATCTCTCTCACGATCGGAAATATCCGCCCAACTAGCATCTTCCCCCCTCTCTTCTCCATTTCCCTCTTTCATGTCTACAATCGCTGCTGCCACTACTGTTGCAGATGGGTCAAGTGGTTATCACAATGAAGGAAGTGAAAAAAGTCGCTTAGGGCCCAAGATTCTCCTGGATGCTGGAGGTTCAATGGCGTCAACATCAACTGAATCAGCCTCAGCCGCTTCCACCGCCCCAGTCAAGCCTTCAGCGATAGTGCATGGTCTCAGCCATCCCCGAAGCACTAGGTCAACAGCTCTTAATCCTCCGCACATGCCTTACCAATATCTACCGCGCGAAAACTTATCCATCGCGTCTGGATCTACCGACTCTTCGCCTACTACCACCATCTCCACCTTTGATTCCCCGGTCATTCAAGACACTTCTCCAAGCTCTTCACCTGAATCACCATCTGCTGTTACGCCGCTTCAAACACTTAAACTCATGTCGCGGATTACGAATGGTGATCGACCGGCTGCCCAGTTAAGGACAGAGTCGCGTTTCAAGCCAAACCAATCATTCTCTACTTACCTTCGTCAACCGGAGTCTCCAACAAGAAAAGCTCGTAATTTAAAAAATTTATCGCTCAAATTACCTACCATCTCGTCTCACCAAACAATAGCCACGGCTCCAATCAGAGAAAAAACACCTAATGTCTCAGCTCCTGCTTCTCCGATACAGTCTAACACTAGATGTTTACGACGCAAACCCCCGAATCTTACAATAAAAACGCCATCATTTGACCGATCCTTTTCGAACATTTCAGAGGCTGTTCCTCCCACTCCTAGCACCCGACCGGCTCTTCGGCATATCGAGTCGTCACCGTCTCTCAACTCCATACTCTCTCCAACTACGTCAAATAAGCCTTCTCTTGCTCTTCCAGGTTCATTGTTCCAGTCTTCAAAACGGCCCATGCCAGGCGCTTGGGAGGATCGTGTAGCACCGGACCGACCATCTCCTTTAGCCCAACACGTTTTTTCGGGCAGGGATGCCTTGCATGAGCTTATTGAGGAAGAGGATAACCTAGTTTCGCGCGAGTCATGCAATGGTAGTGATAAAGGTTATCCAGATGGACCAATTTTAATATATGACAGCGGACTCTATCTTTACCTAGAGCCAAGCAGTGAAGAGGCCTCAAAATTTGACGTCGTTATTAATGTTGCAAAGGAGGTTGCAAATCCATTCATAAGCGCTGAGCAAAGGCAGGATACCGTTGTCTCGGTATGGAAAGCTACATTACCCGATGTGCAACGACAATCGGTGGTGGAACCTGATACTGCACTTTCGGAAATTTCTTTCAAATCTGCCTTCGAATTTCAGCCTGTAGGAACGGAGTCGCCCACGACTCCAAAGCGCCGCGCCCCTACGCCCGAGTACATACATGTGCCGTGGGATCACAATTCAGAAATACTCGATGACCTTTATCCGCTTTGTGAGGTTATCGATAAGAGGATTTCGCAAGGAAAGAGAGTGTTGATCCATTGCCAACTTGGCGTCAGCAGGTCTGCATCACTGGTTATTGCATATGGCCTATACAAAAATCCAGATCAGGATTTCAACGCCATGTACAGCATTGTAAAGGGTAGAAGTTGCTGGGTTGGGCCCAATATGAGTTTAATCTACCAACTTACGGATTTCCGGACACGAGTTCAGCAACGGGGACCTTCCAGATCTCCCCCGGCTGAATGGTTTGATGGATCTCTAGATGCGGAAGTGAGCATCACATCAAAAGGCCAAGGTAACTCGACCTCAAAAACCGCCCGTCCCCCAGTCCCTCTGTTCGACGCAGCCGTAGGCGATTCAAAATACTCCAATGCACCCACGTTAGCAAACCCTTTTAACTGGACCAGCCCGCAAACATCGTCGTCAAACCCAACAGCATCATCGTCACCAGCAACCAGCCAACAGCGCCGGAACCTTCCCCCACGTCCCCTCCCTCTCCGTGAAAAATACCAAACAATACACTCCCTTCGCCGTCCCCGCCACGACAACTCTGCCGTCCCTTCCCATCGCACCTTATCCCGTACCGCTGTCCACCAAATGGACTTGGTCATGCAAGACGTACCGGCAACCCCATCCGTCCTTTCGCCCCGTGCTGCTGAGTTCTGGACAACCCCATTCTCTCACCTCCGCACTATCGCTGGTGATCTTGCCTGTCGTCTCGACAAAAATACCGATACCAATACAACTAATAGCGGTAACGGCAATCGTATGTCGATAGAGTCTATATCCTCCGTCGTCCGCGCATGTCCCCCGGTGCCACCTGGTGCAGCGGACCCGCGATCGCCCCCACAGCAACGGCGGGAGCCGGTCATTATGAGAAATATTGATGAATTTCTTTGATACCTGATTTTTCGTTTGTATTTTTTCCTTGAATTTGTATGGCTGCTATCTTGTTTAGTTTTGTAAAAGGAAAATGGATGGATATGGGGAAGATGGGGTAGAGAAATGGCGGTAATCCTCACCCCTCTTGGTTATTACTTTTTCGCCTCCATTCACTTTTTATTTTGTAATTTTCTGTTTCTTTCTTCTTTTTCGCGATAATTTCTGTTGGGCAATGGAAACGATGCCTGCAAAGCGAGGAATGGCGTTTTTTTTTTTTTTTTGGAGGGAATTTTTCTGTGTTTTGTCTCTCTTTCTGGATCATTTGATACAACCATCTGGGACTCGTTTGGTTATTTCTTTTGTTTCCGCCGGGGAATATATATAATGAGGGAATCCATAAATTATTATTATATAATTTTGGCTGATGGGTGCGGGATGAACGAATTTTTTGGTTTTTCCCCCTGGTTTTCTACTCACTATATTTTGCATGTCTGGTATGTTTTGCAGCGAATTTCGTTTTCATCCTCATTCTCTCCTTTGGGGTTTTCCTTGTCCTGTCCTCATTTCTTTGACTCTGTTGCAGTGAAAATAAATGAATATCCCTGATATTTCACTCTTGATTTCTTTTCTTCTTGCTTTTTATTAAAATAAAAAAGGAAAGGGCAGGGAAGGAAAGGAAAAGAAAAACTTTGCCTGTTGGAATTAAATGAGATGGAATGAGATGACTATGACTAGATGAAAATAAAAAGTGAATCACTACTGAGATATTGCAGCTATTATAACTGAATTCAAAGGCATATATCCTTTGTATAGTGACCTGTGTCTTTGTGATGTGATAATTGTAATACTTCTCTTTCTCCATGCACATCTACTACTTCCTGTCACTTTTCAGTTTTCCAAATGTTTCATCTCAAGCTTGACCTTACCCCTTTTGTTCCCTTTCCCTTTCTCCCTCCTTTCTGCAATAACTTTCTCCTTTCTTGTTTTTAGTTTTCCATTTATGTTTCATTTCCCGGAATAAAAGTCGATTCGGGGGAAAATATGACGATGAGAATGAAAGAGCTAGCTAGGTTGCATATCTACAAGTACTAACGAGTAGCTTTTTTGGAAGATGCTACTAGTTAACTTAGCCTTTAAGGGGGTTAAGTTTATTCCAGAATATGATGAAACTGTAAATATCTCTTGTGCGTTTGTGCGTTATTTTTTTTATACGTTTGCAGTTTCATGATAATCCTTTGTTTCATTGAGAGGCACAAGAATCGAATGAGGAGGTTTCAGGCCTCGTCTCGTTTCAGGGGGTTGGGAGAGGAGGTGAGGATGAGGGAGGAGGAGGAGGGTGAAACAGGTTTCGGGGTACGCTGTAGGTTCAAAGAAGGGGGTTTTGAAATCAAGCCATCTCTCATCAATTGAATGTTCTGTGTGATTTCAACTAGGTCTACGCATGGACAATGGAGAGCAACAATTGGAGAAAGGGACAAAAAAAGGGAGGGGAGGACGGGGAGATATTTTAAGAGGGCTCGTGCTGCTTGCAACATGTAGAGTACATACGCAAAGTAGATAAACTACAGTTCCATTCGGCACAGGGAGTTGATCAATCTTCTAAAGATACTTCCCCACAACTTCCCTGAGCACTTCATGATCCAACACTTTAACTTTCATCTCCCCAGGCCCCTCCATATCTTCCGCGCCCACCGCGCATTATAGATCGCCTCCTCCGTCGCATCCGCAGCTCCCTCAAAGAGCGCATTGATAGACACATCTTGTACAACGCTCACTTTTTGCTCCACAGCGACCGCCCGGCTGGACGCAGAAGGGTCACGAGCAATCTTCTCCGCCGTGCTGGAGGCGATGAAGATGTCTCCAGAGCTATTGGCTCCCCAACCGCCCACGCGCGACAGACCCACTATCGCTCACTTGGCTAGGCGTCGGAGCTGTGTGGGATGTAGGGGCGCATCCGTAGCGACGACGACAATGATGCTGCCATCTTTTATCGCGCTTTTTCTCTCTTCTTCCTCCTTTGCAGCCTCGTGTGAGCCTGCTGATATAGCCGCCTCTGCCTCCCGCCCCTCAATGATCCTCCCAAGCGGCACTCCGCCGATCCGCAAGTCGCGCTTCTTCCCATAATTCGCCTGTACAAGCGCAGCAACTGTATACTGCACCCCAACCCCAAACTCCTTCCCTTCAATAACTCGACTCGCACTCCCCGTACCCCCCTTATGGCCATGGCAGCACACCCCCGTCCCACCCCCAGTATTCCCCTCGGGAACCCTCTCCCCACCTCGGGCCCGCTTAATTCCCCTTAGCACCATCTCCGGCGTAACAGGCATAGCCCCAATATCATTCAGGTGAGAATCGCACGTCTCCGCGATGACCGGCAGGAGAAACCAATCCACCAGCCCGGTCCGCTTATTAGCATACTCACGGACCGCATACTCGTAGACGCCGCTGTAACACGCACCCACGGAAGAAGGAGTTGGTGATGATGATGGGCGAGTTTGAGCAGGCCCGTCTCGTCCAGCCAGTGCGAGCCGGTCATTTCACCGGAGCCATTGAAGCGGAAATACCCCGCGTAGCAGGCCCAGTCGAACCAGTCGCGGTGGGGGAGGGGGGGGGGGGGGGGGGATGGTCGTAACGCCTGTGTTTATGGGGTGGCGGATGCAGGGGCTTGTGGAGGGGTGGAGCTTGATGGATTCTGTGTGTACGAGCACGCCGGGGACGTCCGTTAGGGAGTTCAGGGGCCCCGCGGGGTGCCGGCCGATTTTGAGGGTGGGGAGGAGGTCGCGTATTCGGGGCCGGGAGTTGGATTCATTCCCGGTGTCTGCCGCCATGCTCTAGCTACTGGTATTGTTGGAAAAAGGGAAGGTTAAGAAGGTTCATATGCAGATTTCTAACTTGGTATCACTGATTTTGACGAAGGGTAAAAGTAGGTGTTTTATAACCAGTCTGCAGAATAGCTCCGGCCTCCGTAACGGTTGGCCCACCTTTTAAAGCATTCCTGGTCAAGGATCGGTTTGGATTGAGCATGAGTCATCGATCCACTTTTATCTTATATCTCAATGTGCTCAGGGAGCTGCAAATTTGTGATTTGCAACGAGAGTAGCATGGTAGCCATAATCCTGGGCAGTCTATCTATCTATCCCAGGCCAGTCAGGGGTCTTAGGCAGAATGATTAACTGATTCTTGTGGAGGGAATAAAGAATGATGGTTGTCTTAACCACACATCAATTCAATAAGAACTTGAATTTATATGTGATAATTTGAAAGAGGGTTGATTTTCAGATATGAGGCCCCTAGATTAACTGTGTTGATTGTAACTCTAGCTGGCGCAGCAGTGCTTAAATAGGTGTCATCACGTGGCATCTGATGATACCGTATGCGATACACTAATCCTTAATAGGAAGCCTGCGACATGACTGGTCAACCAAGTAATCACGTGATGTTTATATCTCAGGTGTATATCTAACCACCCAGGTAAGGCTTTAAATATTGCTGCTAGTGTCAATCGCTCGCATCTCTAGATGAATAGGACCATAGGACCCTATTCCGATATACGGTTCCCGGGCTAAATTGACGAACTCTGTTTCAAATCGTAAATGGGGAAACCATCTGGAGGGACGGGAAGCCTAAATAGTACTAGCGGCACGGAGGCTCCCCACCGCTTTTCCTTTCCTCAGATGGCGCCCGATCTTGACCTAAGTCAATCCCAACTACAATCCCAATCATCGACACGTCGCTGCTATTCAACGCCGTATCATCCAAAACGAAACGTCAAGTGCCACATATTCGCCCCGCCAAACCATAGTCGAATATATAATCTTACCGTCCATTTTGCGCTAGGCTCTTCCGATACACGGTGATCGAGTCCACCTCGATCCGCGGCCAACCCTCATTCCGCAGCTACGGCTTCTAACGATGAAGCAGAGGAGCCGAATATCCTGACTGCAGCCGCTATGAATGATGCTGATGCAGTACTGCCCTTGCCAGCTGTTCCTCCCACCAATGGTGACACTGATCGACACGTGGAACCTAGCTTAAAACTTGCTGAAAACAAGAATCTAGTACTGGTGGCTTCTCCCGCTGAGAAGCAAAAACTAGAACGGGAGAATGGTAGTGGTAATGGTAGCGATGATGCAGTCAGCGTTAAAGCGGACTCGGAGGCGGAAACCATAATCCAGTCAGGGCGGGAAGAGCTATCGCCAGAGAAAAAGAAACGGTATATACAGCATAAACGCGATAGGAGCCATGGGAGCGCCGAAGATGAAAAGGACTCTCGAGTTACGTTGTTATCGGAAAGTGGGAAACCTCGAAAGCGACCCCGGGTAGAAAATGATAATGTGGATGATAGGTCTGCCAAAACTCGCGATCCTAGCGAACAGATTTCGCGAGTCTCGTCGCCACCACGGGTGATGAAAGAAACGAAGCAAATGGAAAATGGAGATTCGGAGAAAACGTCTGCCACACGCGGCTTATCGCACTCGCGTTCTGATGGGTTAGAGGGAAGTAAAGGCTACCCCTCGACAAAACGTTCATCAAGTGAAGGAGTTGTTCGCACGGAGGAAGGAGAGACCCGTCGCCATCGCGACCGCCAACATCTATCAAACCCATCCCACAACAAAACTTCGGATGAAACATCCAACCAATCGCATTCGCAGCATTTATCTAAACATCGTTCCCCATCACCTGCTTATCGTTTACACCATAGAGTTACTTCGGGGTCGCACCCGTCTATTGATTCGAAGAAGAGAAGACGAGCGCCACCGCCGCTTGCGACAGATTCACACCGCCAAGTCTCAGAGGACCGAGAGTCTATTTCGTCTTCCGCCAGTGGATCTCCTTTACCATCCGCTCGTCTTCGTAAGCTAACGTCCAGAGAACAGGCAGCGATATCACCTGCAAAGCAGATGCAAGCAAAAAAACAGCGGGATCAAAATGGTCGGACAAGGCTTGCGAGAGCCTGTGCCATGCAGGAAGTGGAGGCTGCGAAAGCGCGCCATTCTGAGCGCCCAGACGATCTAAATATTCCTGACAATGCGGGGAACACGCCACTTCAAATCGCTGCTCTTGAAGGTTGTGTAGATATTGTTAAGTTTCTAATCGAAGCAGGATGTGAAATCGACACAAGGAATATTGACAGAGACACCCCCTTGATTGATGCTGTGGAGAACGGCCATTTGGAGGTTGTTAAGTTGCTTTTGGATGCAGGGGCTAATCCTCGCCTTGGCAACGCTGAGGGCGATGAACCGTATGACCTTGTCCCGTCTGATAACCAGAACTACGAGGAAATGCGAAAAATAATTGCAGAGGCTAAAGTTAAGGGACAACGACGACGTAAGTCTACAGACCAAGCTACTCGCGCCACCTCCTCGGGCAGGGATCCTTCATCGCGGGGTGCATCGGCGGCCAGTCCTCGTGATTCTCCCCCAGTTCATGGTCAGCGAAGTTCTCCTCCAGTTATTCTTGGAGCTCGTAGGAGGACCGTGAGGAGTGAGGCAACCAGGAACGATTTGCTATGGACAAAGGCAACTCCTGAAAATCTTCGAGATTTTGCTGCTAAGGGAGATATGGCTGGTGTTGCAAATATCCTTAACGTGGGACAAAAAGCTGATCCTGAGTCGCTTATTGCTGCGGCGAAAGGTGGGCATGACGAAGTATTGGGGATTCTGTTGGGCATGGGTGACCCGGACCCGGACCCGGAACCACTGCAGGCTGGCAACCATAATAAACCGGGATACAACACCCCTATGCTTGCTGCAATCGGTAGGGGAAACCTTGCGGTTATTCAACTTCTACTGGACCAACGAGGATTCGATCCCACGCGTCTTGATCGCCGTGGCCGCACATATTACGAATTATCAAGAGAACGGAAAGGAGATCACTGGGAAAAGGAATACGAACTTCTAAAGCGGGCATACGATAACCATCTGCGAACCCTCAAGAATCGCAGACCTGAGACGAAATCTCCTCGAAGGGTTCGTGAAAAAGAGACAGAGGTTAAGAAATACGTTCGGCGGGAGTCGTTATCTCCAGCTCCTTCCTCCCAACGAAAAGCCAGCAGGACATCAGATTCAAGTCGCCAAACTGAGCGTTCTGCTCGGGAAATAGACCATGTAAAGGATAAGAGAAAGTCTGAGACTGTCAGTCATGAGAAGGATAAGTGGGTTGCAGGGAATCGATCTAAGCTGCCAAACAGAGAGAATAGCAACCTTGACCAGTCTGCAGGCGGTTCTGACCAGGAAGCTCGTCCGGACCGAAAATACTCAAAGGACTCTGTAACTTCTCACAATGGGGACGAGCCTGTCAAGCGTCGGCGCCTCATTGCAGGCCGACCACCTGACAGAGTGAAGAGGAGGGAAAGTCTGATATCGTCCGACTCTCATTCTAGCCGTGATGACGCAGGTAAACCGCGGACAGAAACTGCGAACCCAGACGTGAAGCCAATAAAGGATGAGCCCCCACGAAAACGTCCACGAAGCAGTGTATCTCCAGAACCATCACAGCTCCGTGGCCGTCAACGCAGAGAGGACGATGTTCGTGATAGCCAAAATCTAAAGAAGCGGAAACGCGTTCAATCTGAAGAGAATGGACTCTCATCCTCCAGCAGTAGCGCAGCAAAGAAATTTCTGGAATTACCAGCACCGTCCTCAAAGGCTCAACCGAGGCGGAGAAATAGCAATGCCCCGAAGGTCGGCAATGAAATATCTCGTGACGGGGATAGCCATGTAGATAAAGAGCTGTCTGGCTCACGGAAGTCGAATACAGGATCGACTGCTATCAAGCAGGAGCAAAAGAAATCAGAGTCAGACATCAAAGACATCCCTATGGAGGATGTTAATCGCCCTGAAGCGGAGGCGGCAGAGGTAAAGGAGGTTGGGGAAGCGAAGGAAGCAAGGGAAAAAACGTTAAGGGAAGCAACCGAAGCAAAAGAGGCCAAGCAAGCAAAGGCTAAGGCAACACAGGAATCACTGCAAGCGAAGGAAGCGAAGGAAGCAAAGGAAGCAAAGGAAACAAAAAAGGAAGCACAAGAGCTAAACGAAGCCAGAGAAAGAGAAGCCAGGGAAAGAGAAGCCAGGGAAAGAGAAGCCAGGGAAAGAGAAGCCAGGGAAAGAGAAGCCAGGGAAAGAGAAGCCAGGGAAAGAGAAGCCAGGGAAAGAGAAGCCAGGGAAAGAGAAGCCAGGGAAAGAGAAGCCAGGGAAAGAGAAGCCAGGGAAAGGGAGGCTAGAGAAAGGGAGGCTAGAGAAAGGGAGGCTAGGGAGGCTAGGGAGGCAGAGCTAGCTAAGGAAGCCCAGGAAGCTGAAGAGAGACGTGTTGCTGCCCAGGCTGAACGCGAAAGACAGGAGAAGGAACTTCGAGACGCCCAAGCTGCCAAAGAGGCCCGAGAAGCAGAGGAAGCGAAGGAAGCTGCGGAAACCGCTGCACGGCTAGCGCGTGAAAAGGCCGAGGAAGAGGAACGCAAAAGAAAGGAAATGGAGCTTCGGCGAATTAGGCAGGCTGAAGAAGAGCGCCAAAAGCGCTTAGAACAAGAACGACTTCGTCTTGCAAGGTTGCGGAAAGAGCAGGAGGAACAGGAACAGCGGCGTTGCGACGCTCTGCCCAATCGACTTCGTGCTGCTGCAAACTTCGTCGGCTCCAATCACCCTATATCTAAAAGCCATACCTGGCTTAGGAAGTTCATGCCTCTGGTAACAGCAACAACAAAGCAAATCGACTCTTCCTGTGACGACGAGGCTAAGGATGACAAATGGATTCCCAACTATCTGGTTGCACCACTTCTTGCTACAAACGATCTTCAGCTCTCGCAATGTACGTACATCACTCATTACCTTTCATATATCAATCAAGCTAGTGTGTGAGAGGACTCTAACCTCGAGTGCAGATCCAAGTTGGGAAAGGCGGTCTGCCACTTCTACCCAGAGAAATAATCTTTGGAGGGTAACCCTGGCGTATTCTAGTCGAGAAGGCGAGCTCAATTCCTTAACATCCAGTCTACGTTCGTAAGGTATGCGGAAAGATGC